GCTGCCGCTTCGCCGCTGGCGGGGCGGCCAGGGATTGGCGGGCGCGCGCCTGCTGGCACGGCTGCGCTCCTGGGAGCGATCGCCATCATCTGATGGGCCGATATGTCCACCAACACAGCCAGACATCGGGAGGAGAGGGAGGAAGAGGAGGAGGAGGTGGAGGAGGAGGAGGAGGAGGAGGAAGAGGAGGAGGAGGGGGAGGATGAGGAGGAAAAGGAGGAGGAGGAGAAGGAGGGGGAGAAAAAGGAGGAGGAGAAAAAGAAGGAGAAGGAGGAGGAGGAGCAGGAGGTTGAGGAGGAATAGGAGAAGGAGGAGGAGGAGGAGGAGGAGGAGGAGCAGGAGCAGGAGCAGGAGGAGGAGGAGGATGGGGTAGGAGGAGGAGGAGGAGGGGGAGGGGGAGGGGGAGAAGGCAAGCTAGGTGCGCGCGCGTCACATCTGACGTCGCTGATCCCCGCGGGTGGTGGTGGTGCGCGTGCGTGCGTGCGTGCGTGTGTGCGTGGTTGTGGTGGTGCTGGTGCTGGTGCTGGTGCTGGTGTGCTGGTGCTGGTGCTGGTGCTGGTGCTGGTGCTGGTGCTGGTGCTGGTGCTGGTGCTGGTGCTGGTGCTGGTGCTGGTGCTGGTGCTGGTGCTGGTGCTGGTGCTGGTGCTGTTGCTGGTGGGTGGTGGGTGGTGGGTGTGTGGGTGTGTGGGTGTGTGGGCGTGTGGGTGTGTGTGTGTGTGTGGGTGTGTGTGGGTGTGTGTGGGTGTGTGTGGGTGTGTGTGGGTGTGTGTGTGTGGGTGTGTGTGGGTGTGTGTAGGTGTGTGTGTGTATGTGTGTGTGCGCGTGTGTTCGCGTGTGCTGTGGCATGGCACGGGCAATGACGCCAGCGCTGCAGCGGGAGCACGAGTCGAAACGGGCGGAAGCGCGGAAATGAGGCCAGCGCTACAGCGGGAGCACGATTCGGAACGAGCGGAAGCACGGAAATGAGGCCAGCGCTGCAGCAGGAGCACGATTCGGAACGAGCGGGGCCCGAAAATGAGGCCGGCGCCTCGGCGAGAGCAGCATTTTGAGAAAAACACAAGCGAAAACCCGTTTCCCGGGAATCCTGTGTGTAAAAAAACAATACGCGGGGGGGTGTCGGATATCTTCGGGACGCCATCAGGGGAAGTGGGAGAGTATCTTCATATTGTGTAATTGTAGTGTAGAAGGGGGAGGGGGAGGAGAAGCGAAAGGAGGAGGAGGAGGAGGAGGAGGGGGAGGGGGAGGGGGAGGAGGGAGGAGGAGGAGGAGGCGGAGGAGGAGGAGGAGGAGGAGGAGGAGGAGGAGGAAGGAGGAAGGCCGCCATATTCCTGCCGAGCATTGGGGGAGGCCCCCCCCCGCGCGCGCGCGGCCTTCAGAAATGTCGTCTGCAGCCATGGCATAGAGTTATGTCACCTTCAGATGATGGGGCATCGGGCGCCCACAGTGGCATCACCATCATTCAATATAACCCGCAGTCGGCGAACGTCATGCGAGGCAAGGGCATCATATCAGAATCACGGAATGGTGACATTATCGGCTTGATTGGCACACAACAGCGTGCAGGAGAGAGAGAGCGTGAGCATAGGCAGCATGAGCAGCATTGGTCTCTTGAATGGGGTTGGGGTCGTGGGCAACACACGAATCGTAGTTGTGGGCTTGCGTTGTGGGTGAAGCGCCGCGTGTTTTCCCCCAGGCAGATTCGAGGATTTGTACAGGTTCCCCGTGGACTTCAGGGTCGTGTGGCGGGAGTTCGGTTAGAACGGGAAGGGCTACGCCTTGCTATCTTTCTCATGTATTTTCCTCCCGTCCCTCGGCGTGCAGAGAGCAAGAGGCAGTGGGTTCGGACGATAGAGACCATGACTAAGTGGATGGTTTCTGCTATGGCATCGGTTTCAGCACGCTGGGCTCCACTAGTCTTGTGTGACGCCAGCGGTCAGTTCGAGCATCTAGAGTCCGTGACAGGTACTTATGCTAATGGATCTATGCATTTGGGTATGGAGAATCTGCTTTCTTTGTGCCAAGCTCATCAACTAGCAGTAATTAACACGGAGTGGGGCGCAGGTGACACATATTTTGGAGCAACGAGTGACCCTAAGACTCTGGATTGCATCATTGCCCCTCGGGAGTTCGCTGATCATGTTTCGTGGTGCCGTACTTTTCAGAATTCAGCCTGGCGTCTCCAATCTCATCACCACTCGAAGTTATGGGATCACGTTCCGCTTGCATGTAAGATACCGCATGAATATGCTCAATCGCAGTATTATCAGCCAGATCGGATTCGATTCAGTGGTGAAGCGTTGTCTATGATGGTGCAGCGAGGTTGGAAGTGTGCAGAGTTTCTCCAGGGCGTCGAGCCGCACCTGAGTGAGCAGTGGGACTATGTACGTAACTTACCTTCGGCAGAGGCGATGGACAAAGCCAATGAGATCTTGATGACCACACTCAATGATTGTGCTCAGCCTTTGTTCTCCGAGAGTCCGTTGTACACAGAAGATCATGAGCGACATAGTGAAGAAGTTTCGCGCCTGCTTCTTCAGAGACGGGGACTTCGTGGTGCCTCTGCTAGTCTTGCTGAGCAGTGCAGCCAAGATTTTCTGCACATTCGCGCCCGCATAAATGTGGACCAGAGCGCCTTGGATTTAGAGGCCGAGGAGTTGCGTCTCACTCTTGCTATCCGTCGCAGTAGCAAGTGGATGAGATATCGTAAACAGATTTATTGGGAGCAGGTTACGAATGATAGATGTGCTGCCTTTCAAGAAGCCGTTGAACGTAATGATGGTTATATGATCCATAAAATGGCCCGCCTAATAGCACAAACCACCAGAGGAGGAAGGAAGAGAGCGCACAGAGTCAGGGTGGAGGGCACGGTGGAGGAGTGGAGTGCTAAGGTAGCCAAGCCGGGGCCCCAGGGGGGATGTTCTGCAAAAATCGTGAACGAGACGGAGCTTTATCAAGAGAGGGCTCGAGGTTTTTTGAGACCCGAAAAGGTTTACACGGAGGAGGCCGAGGAGGATTATGAGCGGTTGTGCAAGGCGCTTTGGCAGGCCCGCCTCTGGAAGGCAAGTCCTAGATGGAGCTGCCCCGCGGAGCTTCTACGTGCGTGTTTTTTTTTTTTTTTTTTTTTTGTTCCTAGGTGGCAGAACCCTAGGATGAAGGAGAAATTCAATGGGCTCGGCTACACCCCTGAGACTAAGCAGCTCATGGCCCCCAACTTCACAAAGTTTATCTACTTCATCCTGCGCCAGGCTCGTGCATGTTGCAGACTGCCTGTTGCTTGGCTTCGGGCGGGGGCGGCGAGGATCGGGAAGGCTAACGAGAAGGAGGGGGTGGAGGGGGAGAGGATCGTGATGATGGTCTGCTCGTTGGGCAAGGTTTTTTACCGCAGTGCCCTGATGAGAGCGCCCGAGATAAACATTTCCAGCTGGGCGTACGGTGCGCTCAAACATCGCTGCCGCGAGTCGGCAATAGTTGTACTGTTGTGCTCAGCTTGGCGAATGCGCAGTCTTGGAATGCAGCATTTGAGAAGATTGCACGACGCGGCCAACGCGTTCTACTCGATGTCGCTTCCCACGTTGTTGAGAACGGCGACGGCAGCGTTGCACTCCGATGATGTGCCATGCATGTTGGAACGTTTGAAGTATGCGCACTTTGTGTTCAACGGGGTGCCAGAGGGTTCAGTTTTTCGCATGGGGGAAGCATGTATGCCTGGGGACCCTGTTATGGTGTACTTGTTCGTAGTAGCATATGCTCATGGTATCCAGAAGCATCCCGAAGAGCCTGCTTTGAAGCTTGCGAGTGCTATGTCCCCCTTATCTCTGCAGCGTGAGCAGGTGTGCATGACCCTTTTTGTCGACGACTTGGCTGACGCCTTCCAGTTTAGCTCTTATTCTGAGGCACCGGTGGAAAGCCGTGCTCAGAATGCTCGCGTGGACGGGGCTATCGGAGAGATGGGGCTCCAGCAAAACGTTAGCAAGCAAGAAGCACTACCTATATGTCGTGGGAAGGGAGGGTATCGCAACGAGCAACTGCTGCTGAATCGTGCTGGTCTGGAGGGCCGTTTACTAATGGTTGCCAGATATCTTGGCGTCCGCGCGTCAGCTCGGTTTGCTGTGGGCCCCGAGATTCAGTGCAGGATCTTCGCTGGGAAGTCTGCCTGGAAGAAAATGGGGAACTTCTGGACTTCTAAGACGCCCCTCAAATGGCGAAACAACGTCTACAAGGGACATGTTCTACATGCTGTTTTATCTGGGACCGAAGTTTTGACCCATAATCACGGACCTCTAAGAGAAAGTGATGTTGCCAGCCTTGAACGATTTTGCACTCGACATGCGCGTGTAGTGCTCTGTGGTGTTGCACAGACCGACGCCGAAGGCAAGACCAGATTTTTGTCGAATTTAGAGGTGCTCGCTTAGTTCAAGATTCCGCCATTTTTTGGGGATCTCAGAGTACGGCGACTAAATTGGCTCCAAGACCTCCTCCGTCATCCAGAGATTTCCGCGCAGGTTCTTGCCGTGGTCTTCGGGGAGTTTCGTGTGGGTGAGAGGGTTCAGGAGGACTGCGAGGAGACCTCAGAGCTCAAGCTCAACCCCTGGTGCCGGCACTGGTTTCAAGATATTCGAGCTCTCGAGGTCTTTGACGATGGACTGCGTTTGCTCGAGAACTTTAATGAATCGCCCGCGCAGATTATGAAGGAGGGGAGGGGGGACTTTATCAAGCTCGATGTTCATGGATTGATATCTTATTATTGGACGCATCAGGAGGAGTACAGGAGGGCGAGAAGGAGGGAGCATACTCAAACGGGGGAGGGTGAATACCGATGCTGGGCAACTCTAGAGGACGGTATTCAGTGCACGGCTACGTTTCCCAGCAAAGCACAGCTGGCGTCTCATTTTGTGCACGCTAAAGGAGGCGATCATGGCGCTCGAGTGCTAGGCCGTGCATGCTGTGTCTCGAACCAATGCGCGATGTGCGGCAGCGTCTTCAGTTGCTTCTCGCAGGCCCAAAAGCATATGCAGAATGCCTTAGATAAACAGTATTGCAAAGCGGACCTGGGCCGAAGCGGGACGGAAGTTCGGTTGCAGGTTCAGGAATGCAGGTTCTGTAGTTTTGGCTCGGACGACCCTGTTGCCTTCCGCCAGCACCTACTCACCCATCTTCAACCTTATCTTAAGCATCACGTGATCGACTTTGAGGGTTCTGATGTCTTGAATGATCTCGGCCGACATTGCGAAGCTGCCAGAACAGAAGAAAACAAAAGCCCAGGAAGAGCCAGAGAAGGCCAGGGACAAGCTTTTGATCCAGTTGGAGTCTCGGGTTCGCAGTCTCGAGTACGGTCAGGGCTCCCAGGTGTTCCTCCAGAAGTCCCACCACCTGGCCTCCAAGGGGGCCGAGATCTACCAGAAGTGTCTGGAAGTGGTCAAGCAGGAGGGGAAGGATCACAAGCGCGGCCCGCCCGAGCTACAGATATTTGCAGGACTTCTAGCCGATTTCGATCCTTGGCTCAGCGACAGCAGCTCCCCCCCAGAGGTCAGGAAGTTCTCAGGAGTTGGAGCACGCCTCCAGGCCATGCTTCAGAACGAAGACGAGGTCGCCGCGTCGGAATGGATCAAAGACTTCTCGTTCTCCCCGACCTTCGACTCGAACGTCGTCCGCCTCTCGTTCACTCTGAAGGGTCAGGTGCTGATCGCTCGCAACATGCCGCAGGCCCAGAAGTTGGCCCAGGAGCAGGCCGCAGCGTGGGAGAAGGTGAAGGGGGGCCAGGAGGAGTTCGAGGAGTACCTTCAGGGGACCCCCCTGGAAGTGCCTCTCAAGAACGGGGAGTATAAGTTGGTTGAGTTGCAGTATCTTGTATGTGTGATTCTGAGGGCTTGGGGCGCACCCAAGAAATTAGGTAGGGCCCCGCGTGGTGGCCTCGCGAAGGGGCTCTGGGAAAAATAGCCCTGACCGTTTCGGGTCCTGTTCCGCACTCGGGTTTACAGCACAATGTTTGAGGCCTGCACTGTACGAGCGGCAAATTGCACATTCGCGCCCGCATAAATGTGACCCACAGCGGTGCGCAGTTCGGGAGTGCGGTTTTCCCTTGTCTGCGATGTATACCCAAGTTGCTGTTAACCTGGGCGGGTGCACCTGCTTACGCTGCTAGGGTACCCTCGCCCAGAGAGGGTGCTCTGGTCGTGTCGGTTGTTGTGTCCGACCGTGCGGGCTGGGCGCTCCGACCGTGCCTGATCCGAGCACTGTCTCGGCACGCACGGCGGTGCCCGACGATTCAAAGCGTCACAGGTGGCCTTCAGAAGGCGTGCGCCGAGTCTGACCTGGCTGCGTGGATCATCAGGACTTGAAGGGGATGCGAGGCGGAGCGAAGGATGAAGGAGGAGGAGGAGGGGGAGGGGGAGGGGGAGGAGGAGAGGGGAGGAGGAGGAGGATGAGGTGGTGGTGGTGGAGGTGGTGGTGGTGGTGGTGGTGGTGGTGGTGATGGTGGTGGTGGTGGTGGAAAACTGGCCCATCATTATTGCCGCGCGGAGCCACTCCAAGCCTCACCAGGTTCCGAGGGTGATGCGCGAGAGGGCTCTAAACAAACCAAACAAAAATACCACAGGGCGCCTGCAGGGAGGTCAGGCCAGATCGACCCCATGTTGCTACTTCCAGCGAGTCCATTGGATTCTGCTCCGCACGTTCGGAGCGACGGGGCCTCGCCAATACGCCACGAGATCAAAAACTCAAATTCAGCAGCACAACTTCTCCGATGCGTCACAGACGCTTGTTCGAAGGGTTTTGCCGAGCCGAGCGCGTTTGGCTCGGCGATGCAGGTGTGCGGGTACAGAAGATGGCGGTCGACTCTGATCGAGCTCTTGGAAATGAGGAAGAAGGTGTTGGGCGGCCGCCTACACGGGGTTGAGAGGAGTATCTACCTGACAGTTTTGGCTCGCAGCGCCCATGGCGACAAATTCGGGCTCGTTCCTGAGAGGCAGCGCGAGCTTGTAAGACTGGGCCAAGAGGTTCTGGGTTCAAGCGAGCCCGGTGATTTCAACGCTGGTTTGGGCGCTGCCCTGCAAGTGTGTATAGCTTCGAATGGTCCCCGAGGCCTCTCGTGGGCATAGGATCTATGGCATTGGGCTTTGGCAGAACCATGTGAGCTGGATGGTTTGAACTATCTGGAAGGTTGTGCCCTTTCTGCCGCCGACCTCCCGGGCGAAGCAGACCATCTCCCGGCCATGTTGGGACAGTTTTTAGGGGCATCGTGCAGCCGATCCGGGGCATCTCGGAGCCTCTGGGCCACCTTCAGGCCATATTGGGCTATCTCGGCGCTGCTCGGGGGGTTCTCAGATTCATGTTGGGGACATCTTGGCGCCGTGTTCGGGTGTGTTGCGTCATTCTCGTTGGTTTGGGCGACCAGGGGCCTTTCGGAGCCACCTAGATGCCGTCTTGGTCGATTCCACGGATTTTTCGGGGCAGTCTCGTAGCGATATGTGGACGTGTAGTGAGCAAAACATTCGACAGACAAGCAACACTGAATACACAATGCTTGTTTCCCACGGGGTTATGGTTTTCTTCCCGTCAGCGTCGCACCCTCGCTCCTTCTCCTCACCCCTCCTCCTCCTCCTCCTCCTGCTCCTGCTCCTGCTCCTGCTCCTCCTCCTCCTCCTCCTCCTCCTCCTCCTCCTCCTCCTCCTCTTCGCTTGTACGAACGTCAGACGTACTTCACACACACGCACACACGCGCACACACACGTCATACATTCACTCACATGCAGCTGCCCAAGTCCACATAGAGCCGTGCACATGTCACATACACACGAGCTCGTACGCACATCATACATAGTTAACACACGCACACACATACACCCGCATACAGCCGCCCACGTCCACGTACAGCCGCGCACACATCACAGACGCACGAGCTCGTTCACACATCAGATATACGTACACACGCGCACCCAGACATCTCACATACACCCGCATACAGCCGCCCTCGTCCACATACAACCGCGCACAAGTCACAGACGCACGACACACAGACGCGGACCTAGTCACTCACGTGACACGCGCACCACATGACGCATGCGCGTGGATTCGCAGGCATTGGCAGGCGTGGCGCTTTCTCGACGCTACAGGTTGTGGTCCGAGCGTGGTCCCTCAGCGTGGCCCCTATGCGTGCCGCGGTCAGAAAGCATGGCGGATGTGTTTTTTGTCGAAATCGCAGGGGTGTGCAGAGGGTGTTTCCTAACTGCTGTCTCGATGCGTGCCAGGGTCGGAAAGCGTGGCTGGCGTGGCAGTTTCCCGGCACCAGGGTGGGTGCGCAGGGGATGGTCCCTCACAGTGGTCTCTAAGCGTGCCAAGGTCGGAAAGCATGGTAGGAACAGCATATTCTCGACACCCGAGGGGGTGCGCAGGGGGTGGCCCCTCACCGGAGTATCCATGCATGCCAGGGTCGGAAAGCGTGGCAGGCGTGGACTTCCTCGACTCGACATCACCAGGGGGTGTGCAGGGGGTGTTCCCTTAGCGGGGTCTCTCAGCGTGACGCGTGGCAGGCGTGGCACTTTTTCGGCACCAGGGAGGGTGCGCAGGGGGTGGTCCCTTAACGGCGGTCTCTATGCGAGCCAGGGTCGGAAAGCGTGGAACATTTGGCACGTTCTCTACACCCGCCGGGGTGCGCAGGGGTGGTCCTTCATCGCAGTCTCCATGCGTGCCAGGGTTGGAGAGCGTGGCAGGTATGGCACTTCATCGACATCACGGGGAGAGCGCAGGGTGCGTTCCCTTAGCGCAGCCTCCGTGCGTGGCAGGCGTGGCACTTCCTCGACACCAGAGAGGGGGTGCAGGGGGTGTCCCTCACCGCGGTCTCTGTGCGTTTCAGGGTCGGAGAGTGTGGCAGGCGTGGTACCGCACGGTGGTACCTTTCCGCGGTCTCTATGCCAGCGAGGGTCGGAAAGCGTGACACGCGTGGCCAGGGTCGGATAGCGTGGCAAGTGTGGCACTTACACCACACGGGGTGCGCAGGAGGTGCTTCCTCACCGTGGCAGGATGGGACAGCGTGGCTGGCGTGGCACTTTGCCCGGCACCGGGGAGGGTGCGCAGGGGGTGGTCCCGCAACAGCGGTCTCTGTGCGAGCCAGGGTCGGACAGCGTGGAACATTTGGCACTTTCTCGACACCCGACGGGGTGCGCAGGGGTTGTCTTTCACCGCAGTCTCCATGCGTGCCAGGGTTGGAGAGCGTGCCACATGTTGGCAGGCTTCTCTCCCAGGGACCAGTGGCGGGCGGCTTCCAGCGGGCGCGACGCACGCCCGCGAGGGTCCCTGCTGACCGAGCCACAGCGCGACGGCTTGCCCCGGCCCACTCTGAACCCTCCCGTCACCCCTCAGCCGCCCCACCCCGACGCCGCGTCGCCACCGTAGTCTCCGCAGCCTCGCTGCGGGCGGCCCCCAACCCCGCCTCACTTGCGTTTGCTTCCCGGGTTCTCTTCCTCCTCCTCCTCCTGCCCCCTTTCCTCCTCCTCCTCCTCCTCCTCCTGCCCCCTTTCCTCCTCCTCCTCCTCCTCCTCCTCCTCCTCCTCCTCCTCCTCCTGCCCCCTTCCTGCTCCTCCCTCTCCAGCCCTGCCCGCCTGCCCGCCTCCCGGCCTTGTCCCGCAGGCCCTGGCCCCCCGCCGCCGCCTTCGCCATCGTCTGTTTGCCCGTCGTTCTCTCTCACCCTTGCTTTCGCCGGCTGAGCGGCCGCCCCCCAGCGGTTTGTTTCCATGGCACGGGCCCCCACAGCAGATAGCGGAATGAGACCTCGGAGACGTGAGGCAACAAGCAAAAGGCAGAGCAGCCACAACAAGACAGCAGTCAAGCAGGAATTGCAGCACTCTTGCGCCCCCCCCAGGGGTCTGGCGGACTTGACATATGCGAGGCTGCTTGAATCACATCAGCTCCACGACGAAGTTGATGATATGGTCGAGAGGGCTGCGGCAGCGGGGAAGACCTGGTTCGAATCCCCAGGTTTCCTGGGTTCTATGGTTAATATGGCCGCCGAGAGGAGAAACTGGGAGCGGGCCGACGCCATGTGGCAGCGGTTGGTGCATCGTCACGGGGTTGAGCCAGATATCTAATTGCGCTTTCGCGCATGTCCGCCGCCGCGCGGCCGCGCTGCAAAGGCGTGGTACGGCCGCGCCGCTGCGTGGCCATCGCGGCGCCCTCCTTGTGTGCCCCTCTTGGAAGCCTTCGCTGCAGGGTCTTGAAGCCGTTTGCGGCGGGGTAGCATCATCACCTCTCGTCCTCATCCTCCTTCGCTCTCCACTCCGCATCCTCCACGCCTTCAGAGGGGGGCCCTGTGCCCGGCGGGAGCGTCCCAGGACCGTCCTGGGAGGTGTCAGTGCTTGGGGGGCATGCGAGGCGGCGCGGAAGGCCGTCTTGAAGTGGCCCCCAACTCTGTGGGGGAGGGTCTTCAAGGGGCCTCCGCACTGCGGACAGCAGATCTGTAGATGATGATGAGGAGGAGGAGGAGGAGGAGGAGGAGAAGGAGGAGGGAGGAGGAGGAGGAGGAGGAGGAGGAGGAGGAGGAGGAGGAGGAGGAGGAGGAGGAGGAGGAGGGAGGAGGAGCATGCGCATTTTCAAACGGAATGGCAGGATCTGCACAGCACCGAAGGCCAGAGACGTGACCAGTCCAGTTCTGGACCACACTTCTGGGCACAGCACGGCTGTCACATATTGGCCCCTGGGGTTTTTGAAATCGCAGCTTCGGCTGTGTTCCGAGG